TTTATCCTTGCATCAACCTGTAAGGTGGGCAAGGCTAAGAAAGTGCATCAGGGTTCAAAATGCTTCACAGTGTAGACCTATATATGTCTATTTTGAAGTAAGCCATTGGGTCCATTGAGGCTTTGTTGTTGTTGTTGTTTAGTCGTGTCCAACTCTTCGTGACCCCATGGACCAGAGCACGCCAGGCACTCCTGTCTTCCACTGTCACCTGCAGTTTGGTCAAACTCATGTTGGTAGCTTCGAGAACACTGTCCAACCATCTCGTCCTCTGTCGTCGCCTTCTCCTTGTGCCCTCCATCTTTCCTAACATCAGGGTCTTTTCCAGGGAGCCTTCTCTTCTCATGAGGTGCCCATTGAGGCTTACTCCCAGGTAAATAGGTATAGGATGGCAGCTGTGCTGCAATTCAATTCTCAGTAGAGCTTGTTGGCCCCAATCCAACACTTGAACCACTACAGTCCGTGAGAATTTCCTAAGCTTCTTCTTTCTTGATGAATAGCCTGGTTCTCATACCTGGAACTAAAAATAAAGCAGATTCTGTCTCTTATATCTTAATAGCAGAGGCTGGAATCCCTGGTCAAACTTTACTTGGATGTAAGCCCCATTGAGGCTGCTTACTTATTATTCTTTATGTCCCACCTTTGCTCCAAGAAGTTCAAGGATGCTTCTCCCCATTGCCATTTTATCCTCACAGAAACCCTGTAAGGGAGATTAGTCTGAAGGACTGTGACTGGTCCAACGTAAGCTGGTCAGCTTGTATACTTGTATGGTGTCAGAGCCATAACTGGAGAGACTGCTGTGCCCTTGGCAGCCCTTGGCATGAACTGTATCTCTGCCCCAACCCTCCTCCCCCCCCAAAAAAAATCATTTTACCACAATAGCCACATTGGAAACTAATACATTTTACATGACCTACAGTAAGTATTCGGAAGCATCCAGAGTGAGGGTGAGGCAGGGAGGAAGGGTGAAAAAAATGCACAAATTGTGCAAAATGCACAAATGTCACAATTGTGCAAAAGGGACAGGAATCTTTTCTTGTGTTTGATCTTGCCGCGACGGTGGCGGCTCGGTGATGCACCCATGTACGTCACACACACCATAGTCTCCAGCAGTCTGCCTTCATACCACCTTGCCATTTTTCCCACCGCTCAGCTCCCAGCTCTTGTCTAAACTCACGACTTTACACAGATCACTGGAGGCAGATTTCTGGGGTGATTTTTTTTTTTTTTTTTACAAAAAACGAAAACAAAAAACAAATAAACCACCTCTGCCACTGTGTGTAGTGCTTTGCAGAGTCCTTGCCCTAAAGAGTTTACAACCTGAAATTCAGCACAAAGGAAACAATGGAAGGAAATATTGGGAGGGATCAGATAGGGAAGCAATATATGCTTGTTTCTGTTCCTGCCTAGACTGGTGGAAACACCCAGTGACTTTGGCCTCATCTGCACCATACATTTAAAGCACCATTATATCACTTTTAATGGTTATGGTTTTGTCAAAAGTGTCCCGGGAACTATAATTTGTTAAGGGAGCTGAGAGTTGTTAGGAGACCCCTCACATAGCTACAATTGCCAGCGCCCTTGACAAACTAGTTACCAGGTTTCTTGGGAGAGAAACCATGACTGTTATACTACTGTTTGTGGAGGTGATCCGAGCCTACAGTAGATTGAAGGAACTAAGGCAGCGGTTCTCAACCTGTGGGTCCCCAGATGTTGTTGGACTGCAACTCCCATCATCCCTGATCTCTGGCCTTGCTAGCTAGGGGTGATGGGAGTTGTAGTTCAACAACATCTGGGAACCCACAGGTTGAGAAAGGTTGAACTAAGGGCTGGTTTTTCAACATTTTCATAGAAATGTTGGGTTTTGATAAAAGGTATGAGGGAAGTAAGAGATGTGATGTCCCACAGAGTGTTTTGGGAAGCAGTTCCAAACACACTGGGCAAGACTTTTGGGTGACTGAGGATGATTAATTGATTACTTAATTTCTTTACTGCTTAGTATATTAAAAAAAAATATCTCTGAGTGGGGTACAAAAAACTGAAGCAGCAGCAGGCAACTTCAAAAAACTTCAAAAATACACAGTTGCATAAAAAAATGTTTCATTGAGACAAAATTGCTAGGATATATAAATCAATATAAATTCATTTTCCTTCTGACACACCCTCCCTTTCAGCCTATGGGCAAAGCAATTTATTTATTTAAATTGAAATACTACCCTTCATCTGTAGATCTCAGGGTGGTTCGCACCTTAATATTACAATATTAAAAAACCACACAAAATACATAATAAAAATAAGTACAAAATCAATAATCCTTCACCCTCCCACAACACATTTAAAAGGGCATGGGATGCCAATCAGCCAAAGCTAGACCTGGTCTCCATTCTTATTTATATAAATACAGGGTTGTTAAGTTGAAATTAATGGGTCTGTGTTATTCATGCGTATTAAGTTCAGTGGGTCTACTCTGAGTAGGACTAGTATTGGATGCAACCCATGGTACTGGTTAATATAAGCAAACCAAACACAAAATCTCTCCTCCTCTCCTCCCCAGACACTAGCAACCTTGAATCAGAGGTCAGAGTAATAAGAAAATGAATGTGAGCAAACCTTGCATTCATTTCCAGGCAGTTCGGGTCTGGAAGCTTTCTGTTGAGCATGCCGAGACTGTTGCACCAGGGCGTGGAGGAAGAGCTCTGGTGCTGATTAAATCTGCTTAAGAGCGGAGGGCATGTCACATACACAAAGAGAGGTCGGGATTAACTAAATGAGAATGCTGACTGTTTCTTTTGACCTTGCAAAATCCAGTGAGGTGCTGATTTTCAAGGGCATCTGAGAAAAATTTAAGTGAGCCGGTTGCCAGGATTGCAAAGGTGGTAGAATTCTTTATGAAATAGATTGTTAAAGCAATTTATTTAATGCTTCGTTTTAACTTGCAGGTATTCTTAAAATAATAATCATCATCTGCTTTTATTTGTGTAAAACATAATCCTTCTGATCTAAAGGTCCCGCTGGGTAGCACTATACAGTGTGAACAATATCTGCATGCCTAGCAATAGGAGGATTGATGGAGAAATTTGATTCAGTACACATAAAAAGCCAAATCTGTCAAATTCATACTTCCCAAAACAATATGTGAAACAGAAGCACAGCTGTCCTTCAAAATTTGCACTTTATCTGAATTTTGCAATGCAGTTCTCCAATCACTGTTTACAGAAGTGCATAACTTAAGGGTAAAAGTAAAGGTAAAGGGACCCCTGACCATTAGGTCCAGCCGTGGCCGACTCTGGGGTTGCGGCGCTCATCTCGCCTTATTGTCCGAGGGAGCTGGCGTACATCTTCCGGGTCATGTGGCCAGCATGACTAAGCCGTTTCTGGCAAATCAGAGTAGCACACAGAAATGCCGTTTACCTTCCCGCTGGAGCGGTACCTATTTATCTACTTGCACTTTGACGTGCTTTCGAACTGCTAGGTTGGCAGGAGCAGGGACCGAGCAACAGGAGCTCACCCCATCGTGGGGATTCGAACCACTAACCTTCTGATCAGCAAGTCCTAGGCTCTGTGGTTTAACCCACAGCGCCACCTGCGTCCCCAACTTAAGGGTAGTCGTCCATAAAAATGAATATATTGGTGAAAATGACACACAAAAGTCCATTATGTTATGGAACATTATTTGCAAAAGCATGTGCATCAGTCAGAGCTGTCTACAAAACATGACTATTAAGAGCAATTCGCACTGAAATGCTGGTGAATTTTCACGAGGACTTTTTAATGCAAATTGCTGCAAAACGTGGAGAACTGAATTTAAGACTGAAAAAAGTAGAACCAAAATTGACAGATACTTCCATCCCTAGGGTAGAAATGCTTCTACACAAGTGCAACAGCTTGCTGTTAGCAGCCTGTTCTCGTGGGCGAGCTAATAATCTTTAAATTCCCATGTAGTAAGTAAACGGGATATTTTGTTGTTATTGTCGATTATTTAGATTTCTTTCCCACCTGTCACCATGATGGAAAACTAATCCTAACCCTAACCCTGGCTAATTACAACAATTTAAAAATACAGTTGGTTAAAATCAGTTACAGTCCAGTGAGTATGGTGGGCTCTAATATAGTTTTTACAGGATTGGGTAAAGAGCTGTGTCTTCATCTTAGGGCAGAAACTGCACAGTGAAGGTGCCTTCTGTGGGGAAGGGGCTGCCACAAAGAATGTCCTCTCTTGGGCTGCCATGTCCTGAACTTCTGAGGGTGGTGACCAGAGATCAATGCAGATAGGAACTGGAGTCCCAACACCATCAGGGGGACACCAGGTTAAAAAAGGCTGTCATATACAATCTTTTCAGATGTTTCCTTTAAAACATTCTTAGAGCATGCACCTTGGGTCATAGCTCAGTAGTAGACTGCATGATTTATATGGTTGTTGTTGTTTAGTCGTTTAGTTGTGTCCGACTCTTCGTGACCCCATGGACCAGAGCATGCCAGGCACTCCTGTCTTCTGCTGCCTCCCGCAGTTTGGTCAAACTCATGCTGATAGCTTCTTTACAACATTGGACTTTCCTTTCGCTTCCAGGCATATCCACAACTGAGCAACCTTTCGGCTTTGGCCCAGCCGCTTCATCAGCTCTGAATCTACTTGTACTTGTCCTCCGCTCTTCCTCAGTAGCATGTTGGGCGCCTTCCGACCTGAGGGGCTCATCTTCCAGCGTCATAACTTTTATATGCCTGTTGTCTTTGTCCATGGAGTTTTCTTGGCAGGGATACTGGAGTGGCTTGCCGGTTCCTGCTCCAGGTGGATCACGTTTGGTCAAAACTCTCCACTATGACCTGTCCATCTTGGGTGGCCCTGCACAACATAGCTCATAGCTTCTCTGAGTTATTCAAGTCCCTTCGCCACGGCACGGCAGTGATCCATGAAGGGAGATTTATATGAGAGAATCCTAGAATTGTAGAGTTGGAAGGGACTGTGAGGGCCATCTAGTCCAACCCCTTGCAATGTATGAATCTTTTGCCCAACGTGGGGCTTGAACCCACAACCCTGAGATCAAGAGTCTTATGCTTTACCAACTGAGCTTAATCCCTGTCACTTATAGTTAAAGTATATTCAGCCTTTTGAAATAACAGTTCAATTATGCATTTGCAGCAAAAGAGCTTCCCTCCCATTTGCAATATGCTCTTGATGGAATTTGTTACTTGCTTATGCCATAGCCACAGATGTCATACAATGCAATGATAGAGCAAGGCAAGACAGCTAATGGTTTGGTTCCACTTGCAACCATTTTGCTTGTTTTATAACTGTCACAGTTTTATCTGGTTTGGTTTTATTAATTGTATCTTACGATGTTGTAACTTTGTGGGACCTTGCAATGAAATGCAAAATCAATCAAACAAACAAACAAATAGCAAATAAACACAGGGTTGCTATATTGTTGGGTTTTACCTACCGGTGTCCATTAGCACCATGTTCAGGCCCAGATTCCCAGTGACCATTAAAGATAGAATGCTCGTCTTTAGTCCATGTAGAACCAGTGATATGCACCTATTCAGGATTACATACTGGGTCTTTTTTTCTGTCTGATCAGAAAGGCTTAGTGCAGATTACAATATCAAACCAAATCCCCTGTCAAGTAGCAAAGCTTATACCGTTGTTACAAATGAAATTGTGGTGGCCACCCGGGCTAAGGTGGTAGGATGCTTAAGGTTACCAATGGCTGAGTGAGATCTGAACTAGGGACTCCTTTACTTCCAGCTTATTTTCTGAACCAATGAGAACACAGAAACACGGGGAGCTTTCTTCTACAGAGCCAAACTATTGGTCAGTTGTGCTCAGTGTTGTCAACACTGACTGGCGCTACCACTGAGCTATGATCCTTCCTCTATCAGTGCTACACCACCTAGCTTTGATGATTAATCTTATTGCCCAGCTTTTCTGTTTCCTGGCTCTGTGCACCTTACTCCCTATGCCCCAGGGATGTGGGTCTTTTTAGTGTCCAAGAGGAGAGACAGAGAGTCAGAGGTGGCAGTAGAAGACCCAAACACCCACCTCCTGGCATCAAGCTGTTACAGCTTGCATCTCTCTCTCAGCTTTGGGATGCTTAAAAGGACCTGCAGTCTTGGGTGTGGAAGGGAGAATTTGTTATCTCATGGGGGGCATCAAAGGAGCCTCTGTGTTGCATTATTATTTTTATCTAAGCTGTGTTGGATGATTCTTCAGGATTGAGAGGTCAGCTGGACATCAGATAAATAAATACCGCTATTAATTCCAACTTGGAAATACATTTTATAAAAGCATTGGGGTTGTTGTGCAATGCTTGTATCTCCCTTTTGCTCTTAATATCCTCCTCTCTCCCCCCCTCCCCATTTTCTCTTAGTATCTCAGAGATCATAATATTTTATTCTCTCTCCTCTTTATTTACTCTCCCTTTTAATGCCATCTTCTAGTGTGCCCTACATTATGATTCCTCCTTGGTGCATCAGGCCAATTCTTGGACGTTCTGAATATATTATTCCTACTGATCGTTATTTCATTTTCAATCTAATCAATTCCAAATCCAATGTTCCATTTGCTCCCAGATTCCCATAGCTAACTTGATCAATTCTTTCTTCTGTTGCTCAATCAATCATGCCTTGGGTCATCCTTCCAGTCCTTGAACAACATTAATTACATAGGAACCGTATCCAATATAGCCAACCATTCCTCACTGCGACTTTCCCACCGTGCACAATTAAGGACAAGTTAATGGCGTGATGGGACTGAACAAAGGGTGCCATGGTGTGATGGTGACTTGAGTCGCATTGATGCTTTGGACAGCTTCATAGTTATTTTCAACATTTGGTGCTTATTTTATGATTGATTGGCCACATTCCCTTATGGACATCCTTGTGGGGTCTGCATGTCAGTGTGGGCAGAGGCAAAAGTGAGTGAAGAACTAATGCAAAACTTCCCTTTGCATGGCTGGAATGAAGCCTGCTGTGCAGTCAGAAAGACATCTCCCTCTATCTGGTCAAGCAAGAGGTAGCATCACAGTTCTGTGACATATTCCAGACAGGCTAAAGCCTTGAGGAGGCTGTGGAGCAGGGCTTGTGAGGGATATGCTCAGGGGAGAATCGCGAGGGCCAGGTGGCCCTAAAACCAGAGGTTTCACACCCCTGTGTCAGCAGATAATATCCCATAACGCCATGTTACCTTGGGCATGCCTTGTATGTATCTTTACTAGAAACGATAAACCAGAACAGACATTATTGCAATGGGCACAGTTGCTTTATAAACAACAATATGACTTTGCTTCATTTGAGGAAATGGGTGAAAACTAATTAATGCTGATACTATCTTTCTCGCTTTGGGGGATTAGCGAGAACAGCACAGTATACTATTATGATGAAAAATACTGTGGTACATAAAATGGTGTGAAATAAGTGTGAGTGGCTGGGAGCGCCAGTTACAGAAGTGTAGGGGAGTAAAATGGTGTGTTTTTAGAAATTACATAGGCCATGTAAACCACATTGTCTTGACTGTAAGCTTAAACAGTTCCCAGTAGGGATACAGATAGATATTGTATATAGGTTGACCCTTGGGACTTCAGTAGGGAAACTGCAGCACACCAGGAACGGAGGAGGTATCACATGCAAATAGTTTGGGCCTCATTAGAACTGTAGGTGAGCAAGAGGTCTGGCATGCAATAGTTACCTCTCTTGATGGAGGAGGAGCAAAAGGAAGCAGTTCCTTGATTTGTCCCTCTGATCTATGACAACATGGGCAAAGCTGGGTCCAAGACCCTGTGATGGTTTTGAGTGGTGGAATCTCTGAAAGTTAGGAAGAATCTGTTTCTGCTTCCTGCCATGCAGATCCAGCTGGCCTTCATACTTCCTTTGCCAGAAAGGCCCAGAGTTATCCTACCTATATAGTGGTACCTCGGGTTAAGAACTTAATTCGTTCTGGAGGTCCGTTCTTAACCTGAAACTGTTCTTAACCTGAGGTACTACTTTAGTTAATGGGGCCTCCCGCTGCCGCCGTGCTGCCAGAGCAGGATTTCTGTTCTCATCCTGAAGCAAAGTTCTTAACCTGAGGTACTAATTTCTGTGTTAGTGGAGTCTGTAACCTGAAGCGTCTGTAACCTGAAGCATCTGTCACCCGAGGTACCACTTGGTTCCATCCTGGGTTCCTTGAGGTGGGAAGATTCCTTTCAGGTGACTCTGGCTTGTGGTTCCTTGCAAGGATACTGCCTATTAAAAAAACATGTCTGAGAAGCAAGGAGATGTGGAAATTAAATAAGGGGGATTAGCTAGGCAGAAGGAAGAAATGTTTTCTGTCCACAAGGTTGAAGCAAGCTTGGAAAAGAATCACGCAGAGCTGTCTTCTGGAAAGAAGGATGGGCTGTGGAACAGCCTGAGTGGAAAAGATTGAGCTATTTCCATACCACCCTTCATTCAATGATCACAGGGTGGTTTACCATATAAAAACACAAAAATACATAACATAGTAACAAACAAAAGCAAAACCTCCTCCCAGGTACTGAGAGATATCCATTTATAGCAGGCATGGCCAAACTTGGCCCTCCAGCTCTTTTGGGACTACAATTCCCCTCATCCCAGACCACTGGTCCTGTTAGTTAGGGATGATGGGAGTTGTAGTCCCAAAATAGCTGGAGGGCCAAGTTTGGCCATGCCTGATTTATAGGAAAGAGGCTTCCTGATGTGTATTAGCTCTAACACAGAAGACAATCTCCTGAAGGACAGGACTGGGTGACAGAGACATTTCATGGTAATTTAACCAAAGTACTGAGTTTTTACAGTCGTACCAGTACATCCTTCATGCTGCATAGTGGCAGAGTAGTCATGAGGGTTGTCTGGCCAATAAGAACTCACAGCCAGGTGACTGAAGGGTCTTTCACAGAGAATAGTGGAGGCATTTCCCAAACAATGTAAATTGAGACTTAGTCCAATCACTGGGAGAAGTGCTTTCTGAAGGATGCCTTATTACTGCTGCCCAGGGTTAACGGATGTTAAGTAAAGCCATCTTCTTGCATTCAATATGGCAGAGGTTCAAGGGACTGACTAATTCGTTTTGCACTGCGGTGATCCACTATGCATATATGTTGTTGCAGGGAAATTTATCTGTGCAGCAGCTACTATGGAGAGGATATCTGGTACAAACCAATAGTGCTTCCTCCAGAGGAATGATGCCTTCAAGGCTTGAGCTTTGCTTATTAGTGCCATGCTTATTGCTCAGAACAAAGCCAAAAGCATCACATGGATCCAGGGGATGATGTGCAGAATTCCAGCTGAAGTGAGCTTCTCTGTAGCAATGGCTGGCTGGGGTCCTGTGCATGGCATGGCTCCCAAGCTTGGCAAGGAGTAGAGGTGAGATGGCAGAAATGTCATCCTAATATCCCACCAGCCAGGCAGCACCGGTCCTAATGCTACTTAGTGTGAGATAAACATGAAATGGCAGTAAACTGCCAGTGGCTGATATTGTTATTAGCTGATTTAGTACAATTGCTAAGACTAAAATTATGTGTCAGAAAATCCCTGGTTTGAGTCTTCTCTCTGTGCATTCTCTTGGACTCCCTCCCATTTGCAACACGATGCTAATAATAAGCAGTAATAATTGCTGATTTGGCATAATGGCTAAGAGATAGATCAATGCATTGGGAAATCCCTTCCTTGAATCTTGTCTTTGCGCTTGCACTCAGCCTCCCTCCCATTGGTAGTATAGTGGTAATAGTAATAAATAATAAGAGCTGATTTAGCTAAGTGAATAATGTGTGTATCGGGAAATCCCTGGCTTTCATATTGTGTCAAAACGTCTTTTCTGTTGGTATTAGTACTGGCCTGTCTTGTTTATGTTGCTTCTAGAGCTGAGCAGAAGTGTTTAGGCTCAGTGACTTTCACTAAAAAAAAGCAAAGGATGGGGGCGGGATACCCCAAAGATTGGATTGATCTTAGGAGAAGTTCTAATGGATGTATCCAAAGTAGTGCTAAGATGAAGTCACTTAGCAATATACCGACGGCAAAACATTTTATGCTAGTGAAATGTTGTTGGTTAAGCAGGTTTCTGGCAACTTCATTGCACAAGAAATTGCACATTCAGTTGCACAGTGAGTTTCTGCTTACTGGTGCATTACATCCACCCATTGTACAAGATTATAGCTCACCTGTCCATTAGTGCAAGAGCCCTTGTGCTAGTGAAGAAGGAACATTGGGTTACTTTTAAAGGTGGGTGACTAAGGTTCTCTCCCTCTCTCTCCCTCTTCCCCCCTCTCTTTTATCAGAAAAGCACCTTATCACTTCAAGCCCTAACTTGGCTGCTCTCAGCAGGTCTGGCTTCCCTGGGGTATTCTTGGTGGGGGAGGAGGGAGATGGTTGCCTTCATTGGCCAATGGGCACCAATCTTTCCCCACAATAATATCTCTGGGAACAATGCTGCTTCCTGAGTTAGTATCACTCTCACTGGTGTATTCTGCCCTGTAGCTCCTCTATCTGAAACACAGCATACGTAATCCATCTAGAGGAACTCCTGTGCCTCTAAATTCCATCTGCTTTGGCCAAAAGTTGAAAAGGTTACGGCCTTTCTTTTCTTCATTGTAGTGAATTCCTCACCCTTTATATTCCTCATTGTAGTGAATAAGGAGCATGGAGTTTCATTCTATACAAAGTAGATATTGCAAGCTTGAAGTTGGGCCGCCCCTGCAGTAAAGCAATGCCATTTCGTGCCTCTATGGATCTTGTCACATAATTCAAGCCGTGCTTTGCTAAAATGTCACGTCAGTGCCCTGAAAAATACAAGCAGAATTGAAAAAGATGAAAGCTGAGATGATTCTTGTGCCAGATAAAAAGGACACATGCTTAAATCATATAGGGTTGAGTGTCCGTTCTCTGTCCCATTATTGTTACATGAGTACAGTGGTACCTCGGGTTAAGAACTTAATTCATTTTGGAGGTCCGTTCTTAAGCTGAAACTGTTCTTAACCTGAGGCACCACTTTAGCTAATGGGGCCTCCCACTGCCACCGTGCCACCGCTGCGCGATTTCTGTTCTCATCCTGAAGCAAAGTTCTTAACCCGAGGTACTATTTCTGGGTTAGCGGAGTCTGTAACCTGAAGCATCTGTAACCTGAAGTGTCTGTAACCCGAGGTACCACTGTATAGGAGTAAAGGAACACAGGAAGCTGTCTTAATATGAGCCAGACTATTGGTTTATCTAGCTCAGTGTCATCTGATGGAGAGTGGCTTTCCAGGGTTTGGGGCAGGAGACTCAGTACTACCTGGAGATGCCAGGATTGAACTGGAGGCCTTCTGCTTGCAAGACAGATGCCCTACCATTGACCTATGGTCTCTACATTCTGCTTTGCTCGACTTCTTGTTTAACTCGGAGAACTTCCTAACATAATTTCAACATTGATGTGCATATGCACAATTTACCTGCAGTTTTCATCTTTCATTCCCTCCCCCTTTCTCCTCACAGGCTACTGATGCATCTGCGTGCACCTAACAGACATTGAACGAAACAGCACAAAAGGCACCTTGATGTGATCGCTGAAAACTGCGTGCACAGAACAGTCTGAACCAAGTTCAGCACTTGAGATCAGAAGAATGGCGGATAGCTAAAGGGCTGGTGTCACTCTGGAAACGAGATCAGGTAATTTTTTTATATATATATAAACCCCCAGAAGTTTTCAGGGAATTGGGGAGGGGGAGAATGTCATAAGGATCCTTAAAATCACTGCCTATCCCCCTTTAAAATGTACACATAGGCAGTGAGTGGGAAAGGGTGAGCCTGCTGCTTGCATACATTTCTAAAATGAGAAGGTGGTGGTGTGGTTGGCGTACACGCACACACCCTTTATATCTGATTTAATACACGTGTCATTGGGATAAAATGTGAGGGTTAAAACACACACCAACAAACACCCACCTGCACTGAGATCCTTGGAAGAAGGGGCAGAACAAGCATGTACCATATTTTCCGCTCTATAAGACGCACCAGACCACAAGACGCACCTAGTTTTTGGAGTAGGAAAACAAGAAAACAAATATTCTGAATCTCAGAAGCCAAACAGCAAGAGGGATCACTGCGCAGTGAAAGCAGCAATCCCTCTTGCTGTTCTGGCTTCTGGGATAGCTGCGCAGCCTGCATTCACTCCATAAGATGCACACACATTTCCCCTTACTTTTTAGGAGGGAAAAAGTGAGTCTTATAGAGCAAAAAATACGGTAATTAAATCAACCAGTCATTGTCCTTTTGGAAGGAGATGCCAGGAACTGAATCTGGGACTTTCTGTATGCAGTTTGTGTGCTCTGCCATTGAGGTACGCTATTTCTTTTTCAGGTTGAGCAACTGGTGTGTTTTTTGGGGGGGGACCTGCGCGCGCACGCGCACACACACACGCACACACACTCCTTGACCAATGATGCCTTTGTCATGTTACTGTACTTTCATCTCTCTCTAAAAAAGTTATCAGTTGTCTCCATCATTAGGGTTTTTTTTCGTCATTTAAAAATTGGCAGTCATCCTGAGGCTGCTTCCCATATTGTGGCTTCTCCTGCCGGCTGCATGTTTAGTTTTTAAGTGGTGGAAAAGCTCCAGGGAAATTGATCTGTCTTCCAGCCCCAAACTCATGGAAAGATGAACATCTGGCAGTAACGGATGTGGGCAACCAGCCGGAAAGAATCCTGGTGTTCCATCCTGTTCCTGCCAGGTATAGGAATAAACATCCTAATCCTCAGCATTTTCAGCTGTTGAATTTCCCCAAAAACGCTTTTGCAATGTCCTGTTGGTGTTGCAAGGACTCCATCTTCCAAATTTCTTTTGGATGGGACTGTTCCTAATTACTGGCTTCTTGGCAAGTCCAGTATTAAGATGGTGGGGGTGGGATTTTGAGACTATAAACTTAGGGCACACATGAGCATCAAGTTGATGATGCGATAGGCAAGCTATTGTGAACACTGGAACAAATAGGTTTAGTATCTCAAGTAAACATGGCCTGAAATGTTCATCTCACCAGTGGTTTTCTTTGGAAAAGGTTTTGGAAGGGGTCAGGTGAAATGGAGGGTAAATAAATTGATGAGGGAGGGAGAAAGCTCCTAATTTTCTTCAAGTGAGGGCGAGGGTTTCCTGAAATAAGCAGGTGTAGTAATTCCACCCTAAAAAAATTGTATCCCGTTGCAAGTCATTGTGGGTCTTCATGTCCCCATAACTCACCCTGGGAGCAGTGTTGCAAGAAGACATGACGTCCCTACAGATGTTCCTTTTATTGTGGAATCATGATTATTTGTGCCCATCACGGCAATCCCTCTTTTCAATACTGTTTACACTTGCAAAAGTTTTTGGGTGGACATATTGCTTGGTTTCCAACTGGTGCGTGTCCCGTAGGTTCCTGCTGAAATCCTTTGGCTTCTCATACAACCAGTTTGTTGTTGTTAGGTTTTTGTCCTGCTTTTGTTGCACTCTAGTGCAAGTGTTTCCATCTGGATGGCAATAATGTGCCAACACTGGGAAGCATTGCAGAACAACTAAACCAGAGTGATGTGTGGACAATCCAGTATCAGTCTCCCACTATTGTGGCATGGTACAGAATCCACCTGCAAAACTCCCCACCAGTCTGGAGGGGCTCATAGTGTCCCACCTAGGAAGCGATATTGGGGCATGACTGCTTCCAGGCTGCTACTTGTTGTGAAGATAAGAAGAGCCTGCTGGATCAGGCCAGGGGCTCACCTACTGCAACATCTTGTTCTTACATTGACCAGCCAGAAGCCTGTGAGATGCCTTCAAACAGGACTTGAGTAAAACAGCACTCTCTTTCGGTTTCCAGAATCATAGAATTCTAGAGTTGGAAGGGACCACAAGGGTCATCTAGTCCAACCCTTGCAATTCAGGAATCTTTCGCCCAACATGGGGCTCAAACCCACGACCCCGAGATTAAGAGTCTCAAACTTTGCTAGCTGAGCTACCAAGTATTCAGGTGCATGGCACCTCCAACTGTAGAGGTAGAATGTGTCCGCCAGGTTAGTAGCCATTGATAGCCTTAGCAACTGTGAATTTGTCGAATCCTCTTTCAAAGCCATCCAAGTTGGTTGCCATGACTACCTCATCTGTCAGCAAATTCCGTAGTTTTAACTTTCTTTTCTTTCAGCGCCTTTCGACACTTGGCTTCCTTGTTATGCCCGCAAGCTTTGCTCTATCCACTTCCTCTACACCATGAAAAAAATTATACACTTCTATCGCGTCTCATATTACTCACCTTTTCTCTAAACTAAAAAGTCCCAAATGCTGTAAGATTTCCTCACAGGGGAGCTGTTCCCTACCCTTGATCATTCTGGTTGCCCTTTACTGAACTTTTTCCAACTCTACAGAATCCCCCCTTTTTCTTTTTTGAGATAGCAAGAGATCTTTCTTCTAAAAAAAGGAAAGAAGAGCTGCTGCTGTTGTTTATCTCAGTAAACCTCCCTAAATATTTTTTTAGCACCCTGCACAGCCCACATGCCCAAATAGCTGAAATCTCTACCCACTTCCACAATTTGCAAATTTTGGCTCGGCTCTAGTTTCAAGAGGGATTTCCCCCTCCCTGCTCCCAACCTCCAACTAACTTCCTGCTCTCTGCTGTACTGGCTGAGGCTGATGGGAGTTGTAGTCTTAAACATCCAGAGAGCGTCAGGTTGGGGAGGGCTGAATTAAGCACTTGGGAATGTTCTGTGTGATTTGAGCAAGACTCAGCAAATACATGTGCATTTGGGGAAGAGGTTGAGGTGTGTGACATCAACAGCCAAGGATTTGGCAGTTTGTATTCTAGATGAAATGTTTTCTTTTCTAAATTATTTATTATTTCAATTTATTACCTGCCCTTGACCCTAAGGTCCCAGGGTGGATTGCAACAATTTAAAACACATTATTTAATTATTTTTAAATACAATTTAAAAGTAACATTGATAAAGAGCAACGCAAGTTTTTTCCCAATTACTTTTAAAATTCCAATCTTTCTGCATTTAAAATCTTCATTTTTCTAAAATTGAGATTTCCTCTCCTATGTCATGGGATGCATCCGGTAGGGAAATGGTTTGGTAACATATCATATTATTTTATACTTGAAAGTGAAAGTGAGATGGAGTAAGAATCCAAAACATCTAAATCTCCCCAAACCTATTTATCTGAGAGAATAGCATTTTGTGTTTTTATGCATGTAATCAGTTTGCTATCTCTCTTCCCCCCAGCTTTGATTCACTCATCTCATTATTTGCTGCCTCTGAAACTTTACTTGCTTCCATTTATGCCCAAATTGGGGTGGTGGTTGTTCTTTCTCCCGCATTTTCTCTGTGCTTAAAACTTGCAGAGATTGCTTTCTAAGTAGACTCTTTAATTTTTGCCTGCAACAGAAGGAGGAACGCGGCTTGTTTGGCTTTCTGCTTTGCTTCTTAAGTGAAATGGTGCGCCTCCCTTGCTCCTCTTGTATTGCGTTTAATGTGCTGCAGCATGTCGCTCAACAGATGTGCCTGCACCAGGAGCTCTGCTGAACGCGTTGTCACAGTTTTTACACTCTGGCAGACAGTTCGACACTGGAAAAAAACAGGGGCTGTCAAATGAATTTTCTTGATTGCTTTGCCGGATGTGCAAAGTAGTTTTTAAAATGTCATAATTACCTCTCTAAAGAAGAGGAGGAGAAAAGCCAATAATCTCCCTCCTCATTTTCATTTGGGTAGAAGAGAAACAATCTAAAGTCAGCTGGCATGTTTGCAGAAATGAAATCCTCTAATAAGTAAGGCTATCAACCAGATTTATAATTTATCTGATTTGTTGTTGTTTAGTCGTTTAGTCGTGTCCAAGACTTCATGACTCCATGGACCAGAGCATGCCAGGCACTCCTGTCTTCCACTGCCTCCCGCAGTTTGGTCAAACTCATGTTATTAGTAACTTCGAGAACACTGTCCAACCATTTCATCCTCTGTTGTCCCCTTCTTTTTGTGCCCTCCATCTTTCCCAACATCAGGGTCTTTTCCAGGGAGTCTTCTCTTCTCATGAGGTGGCCAAAGTATTGGAGCCTCAGCTTCAGGATCTGTCCTTCCAGTGAGCACTCAGGGCTGATTTCCTTCAGAATGGATAGGTTTGATCTTCTTGCAGTCCATGGGACTCTCAAGAGTCTCCTCCAGCACCATAATTCAAAAGCATCAATTCTTCGGCGATCATGGTCCAGCTCTCGCTTCCATACATCACTACTGGGAAAACCATAGCTTTAACTATACGGACCTTTGTTGGCAAGGTGATGCCTCTGCTTTTTAAGATGCTGTCTAGGTTTGTCATTGCTTTTCTCCCAAGAAGCAGGCTTATTTTAATTTCATGACTGCTGTAACCATCTGCATGTTTATTTAATCCAGGGTTTCACAAAGTGGTTAGTGATGACCCCCTGGGGTTGATAGGACCGTGAAGGGGGGGGGGGATAAAGACCTAGAGGTCAAAAGGAGGGGGTCAAAAAGAGCCCTGTGGTGGAAAAGAGGTTTATGAAATGAGCCTCAGAATTCAAGAGCATGGACATGTACAGAGTGCACCTCCTTTGCCTGTGATGAACCAATGTATTTTTAATTTTCATTTATTTTCCATCTTTCCCTTAGAACCAGGACACAATGTATTTAATAAGACAAAATCCACAATACACTTCTCAGGCCATGCTGCTTTATTGTTAAACAATTGTATAAGGTGCAGAGTTTCACTTTTTAAGGTAATTATATATGTTGATTAGATATTGATATTTCTCGAGTTAATTTCATTTACATTGCTAAGAATTTGGGTGTGGGGTCAACGACCACATTATACACTCATCAAGAGGACAATGAATGCAGAAGTTTAGGAAATCCTGGTTTATATGTACTAACATTAAAAAACAATCAACATTTTAAAGACAAAGTGTTAGCACCCTGTTAATCTGGGATTCCTTTTTTTAGTTTATTAAAACTGTTTTTGATTGATGGACCTAGCTGATTAAAGACTGCAGCCCTAGCAACAAACAAAACTTAGAAAATGCTGAGCAGTAGTTTTAATCCCAGCAGTCTGCAGTTTACGAAGATGAATATGCATAAGAAAAGGTCATTTTCAACTTCAGGATAAGATGGCCAACAGACTTTTTGGCAGTTCTGAAAAGCACCTTCCTTTATTTTTAATTCATGCGGAAATGTTGACTTGCTTGTTCGGACTGGACTCGCTACGGATGTCCCTCGGTGGCATTGCCATTTAGCCAAATCAGATTTGACTCTGGAGCATTATGAAATCCCATTTACTCAGATGCTTGAAAAGGGAGGATCAGCCGGGGCACTAATCCAGAAAGGATCAGCACCTGGGACAGGGGTGGTGGTGGAACTGAAACAGCAGACACTTCATAGAGCAGTGAACATTTGCATGTAGAGACCCTGAAAACACCCCCTCATCAAAGAGTGAGACACAAGGACACGGATATTAGGTTAATGTTACTGGGCAAAATTTGGCCACAACTTTATTGGTTACAGAATGTGATCGGTATTGGCTTAGGCATTGGAATTGACCCGACTATATCGGACTCTTTTTCTTTTCTTTTTTTTTGCTGTTTGCTAAATCCCTTTTTACTCTGGCAGGCTTCTTTATCAAGCAGACTGTTTTTACAACTTGTCTGTCTCGTTCACTTATTGTTTTACAGTAGTGTTTTGTGAAGCTGTAATTTTTAAATGTTGCAAGCCTCCATGAGTTGTGCTTTGGTGCTAGAGGGGTGGGGTATAAAGCAAATAAATAAATTTGCTATGTTACCCTTGCCCTGGAGCCAGGGTCATGTCTATAAAACTCTAACCAGTGCTTTCCCCTCTTCCATAACTGGGAGATCTTGCAATCATTCCGATGATTTACAGAAATTCCTCATCAGCAGTAGGAAAGTGCCACTGGCTTAGGTCCTTGAGTTATGGCTTTGCTTCAGTTCTTTATAAGGATGCAGGGGAGAGATTCAATTTAGCGTGCATTTAAAGGCAAACTTGGCTAATCATGGGGCGCGGGTGGCGCTGTGGGTTAAACCACAGAGCCTAGGACTTGCCGATCAAAAGGTCGGCGGTTTGAATCCCCGCAATGGGGTGAGCTCCCGTTGTTTGGTCCCTGCTCCTGCCCACCTAGCAGTTCGAAAGCATGTCAAGGTGCAAGTAGATACATAGGTACCACGCCAGCGGGAAGGTAAACGGCGTTTCCGTGCACTGCTCTGGTTCGCCAAAAGCGGCTTAGTCATGCTGGCCACATGACCCAGAAGCTGTACGCCGGCTCCCTCGGCCAATAAAGCGAGATGAGCGCCGCAACCCCAGAGTCGGTCACAACTGGACCAAATGGTCAGGGGTCCCTTTACCTTTACCTTGGCTAATCTATCCTCTCCCAAACCATACACAAACCAAAGCACAATCATCCGTTGAAATGTGCACTCCTCTGAATTTTGAAGGTCAGTTCTCTGGCCAAGTCATATGTACAAAGAAGCACAGACTAGGGCAGTGGTTACCAAACTTTTTCAGGTCACTGCCCCCTTGGTTCTATAAACTCATCCCCAGTGCCCCCAACCCTGTAAAGAGGATTACTCAGAATAGCAGTTTGCATGACCTACTAAGGAAGACAATTCAAAACAGTGACAATTAATTGCACATTTATTCAAAATCCAATTAAGACTATTTAGTGTAATTAATTCAGCAAAATGGATTAACTTGATCCAGTGATACCGGCTTTTCCAAGTCTGGCAATCATTTACTGCCCACTTTGCAAACCACTGTACTAAAGTGTGCAAATAAATGCATTATTTAGTGAAAATGACATATACACATATGCATTATATTAGAGAAAATTGCTTTGCAAAGTTGTATACATAGCCAAAACTACAAAGAGAAATGTGTGTGTGCGCGTGTGGTAGGAGAAATTTGTACTAAGATGCTTTTGCATTTTCATGAGGACTTTAAAAAAATAATCAGAAACTGATGCAGAAATATGGAGAACGGAAGTTAAGATTTGAAAAATGAAAAACAGAGAGAAACCAAAATTGACAGATTGACCTATCCCTAGGGCTGTCATGTATGACTGGACGGAGAAAGTCAAAACAGTTTGTTGTAGGAGCAGACCCCACCTGTATAAATATCCCTAATTCTTCTTGTTATCAAGTTGTTATTGAAGACTTTCTGTTACATTTTTAGGCATTAAGTTCTATCAAACTAGTCACACTTTTGTGTGTGTGTGTGTGTGTGTGAAAGGTAAATGCAACTCTTTGTAAGGACATTGGATCAATTTGTTTGATGGGTCATGGCTGTGATTTTTTGTTCTGTAATCTGTATTATTTTTCTTTAAATGTGGGAGTGTTCATCATGGATTTCCTGATGCCGTGTGTTATAAATTGTGCCTTTCATAAAAGTTAAGTTTATTGCCACTGCTGCTTTAATTTTGTTTAGGGTGCTTTTTATTACTGTTGATTATTTGCTTTGGAACGTTCCCAAGTTCCTACACAAATTGTGAATTGTTGTTGTTTTTTTAAAAAAGTCAGCAGAAAACCCTTTTTTGGTCTCTACCAAAAAAGGCTGAAGAAGATCCCTCGCCTGCTTTGGGTGGGTGGTGGGGAACGCACACAAAATGGACAAGGAAGTTCACAAGGAGGTAATGAAAACATTCTTAAGCCTCGTGTCTCTTACCAGGAGGTGTCACTGCAGTTCAGTAGGAACTCGAGAGACAAAATAGCTAATGCTGTCATCAGAGCTGTATTTTCTATCATTTGCTGTTCTGGTGGTTCAGCAAATGTCACCTCCGCTCCATCCTGAAAAACACACACAAGTAGTTTTTTAAAAGTATTTAATAGCAGGGAGGGCTCAAAGAATGAGATCCCGCTTACATAATCAGCTGAAATGGTGGTGATCATGAGATACATTTCTGATAAACAAACCTCTTTGTGTAGGCCCTCTATTGCTATTTGGTGAGGGCAGAACAAGATACTAACACAAGCATGTGACTGACACTGAGAAAAATAGCCTTATGTTCGATTATCTTCCCCCATTTGCTGTACAGTGGTACCTCGGTTTACGAACTTAATCCGTTCCGGAAGTCCGTTCTTAAACTGAAACCGTTCTTAAACCGAGGTGTGCTTTCCCTAATGAGGCCCCCTGCCGCCAGTGCCCTTCCACCATTCGGATTCCATTCTTAGACTGAGGTAAAGTTCACAAACCGGGACGCTACTTTCGGTTTTGCAGAGTTCGTAAACTGAATAGTTCATAAACCGTATAGTTCGTAAACCGGGCTGTTCTTAAACTGAGGTACCACTGTAATTGTCTTCTCTCTGCCCCCCTAAAGAGCAGGCAGTCGTGTGGAATGGGATGTACCAAAACTCATAAGGTGGTGACGCACGAAACATTTAAGTGTAGTTATGCCTGAACATTACACAGAAAGAACAGATAAAGAAGAAAGAGAGGAAAGCATCAAATACAAAGAGAGGCTGCATACAAACCATACATTTAAAGGACATGGCTTCCTCCCCAAGAATATTGGAAACTGTAGTTAACCCCATGAAGAGGTACAGTTCCTAGGACCCTCAGCAAACTATAGTTTCTAGAATTCCTTTGGGGGAAGCAATGTGCTTTAAATGTATGATGTGTATGCACCGAAAGAGAGAGTGGGAGAGAAACACCCAGGACAAGCCTCAAAATAGTGCTGAAACCTTTCTTGTGCACATTGAAAACGACAATTTTTTTTAAAAAAAAATCATAATGCAAAATGTATGTAATATACAAAGTCACTAATTGCTTATTATATACAGCACGTGATGAGAATTTTATGAGATTTAAAAATTTGATTTATTATTTGTTCTTTGAGTACCCTGTGGAAGATTTCCCCCTGAAACACATTGAGAGAGAGAGGGAGGGAGAGTTTATGTTACTGAGTGTTGTAAACATAAGAAATAAAATAATAGAATAATCAAAATAAAACCAGGTTTAAAACAAACAGGAGCCGCCGGCAGAAACATATATTCAGAAAATAAACAAGTAGAGTACTATTAACTTAAATAAACTTAAAATCCCTGCTGCAATAGGTGTGGTCAAGCAGGGAGGAAGTTCCCTATAATTTTCTATTTTGAAGCATGCCTCAATTTTGTTTCTTTCATCCTTGCATACCTAGAGAGAATGCACCTTTTTTGGCATCTATCTTGTGTCCAATGTAATCTCTAGCTCCACACTAAGAAATCTGTATTTGTGGTGGCAGTTTCAGCACAACCAAAGGTGATGAACTATTGCAAGCAGAGTGGTGTCAGTCAGATGCATGTGTCTGGAGAATGGGCCCAAACATCCTTGCTTAATAGGGGAACCAGAGTGACAACAAACTTCAGTTTCTGCTGGAAGTGCTACAGAAGGGATCATTCAGTTTTTAACTTAAGGGTTAATTAAGTTGTCAGTAAGTCAGCTAACCAAAGGGGTTGGTGGAGGTGGTGCTTAGCAAGCATGTAGAGCAGCATGATGTTTGCTGAGGTGATATGTGCCCTGATTGGCTGTGTAGTTCTGAGGGTGTTTTCCTGCTATGTATAAGGATTTAAGTTAGACAGACAAAACCTCTTTGTTCCTTTCTCCTCGAATTATATGCTGTTTTTGTTCAGATTTCCTCAACAAAGTCGTTATTAGGACTCCTTTTATCTGTGGACTCTGCATTATTCAAGGGACTCTGCTAACGCATTCGACTTGCAAAAGCTTCAAAAGCACCATGCTGAAAAGTGGGTTGTGATGTGTTGCAGAGAGTCATTATTTGGACATGTGTTGCTAAAACTCTTTTGAAGCTCGTTCAGTATTCCAGTACATCCTAGGGGGAACTTCCATTGCAGTGGTGTGAGAGCATGCTGGCTCCAGTGGGAATAGAGAACAAAGGGCTGTATTGACTCCATTAGGCCAGGTGAGCGAGCGACCACTTACCAGACTTTGCAACGAAAGAGTCTCTGATGGCTTGCCTGGTGGTTGTGATGTTGTCGCATCCTCCCCCCCCAAAATGAAGACATTATTAGGGAGTGCTTAAAGACCACAAGAGAGGTGGCCACGTGAAGTTCTCGGGGAAGGGGATTACAAAGTTGTGGGACCGCCTTGTCCCTTACCAACCTTAGTGATGAACTTAAGAGCAGAGCCTGAGTTTTGGACCTGGCATATCGGTGTAGATGGTCCTTCAAATAAGCTGTTTCCACACTGTTCAGGCTTCAAAGATTATCACTTGTATTTGAACCTGTACATGGGTGGGTCAACAATGGAACTGATACAGGAATGGTGTGATTTGATCAGACTGCCTAGCTCCCACAGAAAAAGCTCAACAATGGGTAACACAAGCCAGCAGGAGTGGCTTGCAGGGTGGGGCAATCACCAGGTTCCTGGCTGGTGGGTGCTTGTTGCTTACTGGGAGAGGTGAGGTGGTGGGGAAGTTTGCACAGTGCATGACCTACCCACCTGGCATGTAACAGCGACTCACCTTCTAAGAAAGCAGTGTAGCTATTCCACTGCATCTGGAAAGCTGCTTCTGCAAACCATGGTCTGGAAGCCCCTTCAAACCTTGGCTGAAAAAGCCAAGATTGCACATTTAACTGAAGTTTCCCCATGTGCATGTGAACAAGGAAGCAATGGTCCATATACTGGCTTGTTTGGAAGCCATTAACCATAATTTAAGAACCAATGGATCCAGAACTGGCCTCCACAGTCACTTACGGACTGATTGTTAAAACCGTGTTTATTGAAGACCATCTTACTTGGCTACGAGTGATCGCCAAAGAAGAAGAAGAAGCTGCCCGGGTTCTGAGATTTTTGGGGGAGGCTCTTCTCTCGGTCCTGTCATCCTCAGAGGCATTCTTGGTAGGGACATGGGAGAGGGCTTTCTTGGTGGCTGCTCCCTCCTTGTCTTTCTGCTGACAGGTGAAGATCTTCTTCTTCCATTCTTTTGGAAACTGACTGCTTTTGATGAGGCTAGTGCCATGCTGTTTGTGTTGTGAGTGTCTGTATGTTTTTAACAGATCATTTAAAATTCTGTTTATGTTTAATTGTTTTTAAATGACCCCTTATGTTTTTAGCTGCTCTTATGTTATTTGTAAGCTGCCTTGAGTCCCTGTCAGGAAAAAAAGGTAGGGCATAAATATATTATAATAATTGCTTAGGATTCAGCTCTTGATCTGTTGCTCATAGGGAGGAACAGAGTGTTTGAGTGCTAATGCAGACCTCTCATGCATCGTCTGCCACAAGGCAGGATTTTTGACTTTGCATTCTGTGCAAACAGGGCCACTGTCTTGCCAGGATTTATAGCGAGTCTGGAGCAAGGGAGTGTCTCCGATTCAGTCCTTGGTGGTGTTTGCGACACTGCTAATGCCCGCCTAACATCCTTTCTGTCACTGTTAGGATTCATAAAATATAAAAGCTGCTCTCTTTGCAGTGGCATCAACAACAACAAAATGTCTTTCAGAAGGCTGTCTATTTATATAGCTTTACAATATCTGATGGAAGTTTTTATGTTCTTTGTGAAATGAAAAATACCTAATAAAAGAAGTGTGAAATCTGGAATGATTTCACTTTCTATTTTGGCTCTTTGGTTTATAACATAGTATATTTCTCTGCTTTAATACTGCTTTTCTTCTTGACCTGCCAAAAGTCATTCAATGGGGCATCTTTTTTTAATAGTGGTGTCTACTGGATTTTCTGCCATTGGTCTCTAAATATTCTGCAAATGTTTATCTTGGTACATCGTTATTCGTAAATGTTTCTAGTTCCTTTATTTTTAATCAACAGACCTTTCTGTTGCATGTAATGTTGGATGGCTTTTCTGCAATTTTAGCAAATCTTATTACAGTTAAGTCAATAGTCATATATAAATCAATTATACTAGGTAGGATCATAAGGAGTTATAACTATTATAGATCTAATGTTATGGATTTTAAGCTTCATATCCAGTTCTGAGTGTAACCAGTGGAAAGCACGAATTTGTTGTGGTATTTGCAAAGCTTTCTTATTAAGCTTTCGTGTTTGTTCAACACTTGTATAAATCACTCATATCAGACAGATATGTATAAAGAGCCCTGTTGGGTCAGGCCAGTGGTACATGTAGTTCATCATCCTACATCTTTCCTCAGTAATGGACTGGATGAGAACCAACAAGCTGAAGTTCAATCCAGATATGACTGAGACGCCCTTGACTAGATGGTTGGAAAGTTGACTCCTCTTGATGGGGCTACACTCCCCAGCCAAGCTACACACATAGCTAGGATGAAGTTCTGGATCCTTTGCTGTCACTTAAGATTCAGGTGGCCTCAGTGGCATGGAATACCTTTCATCAGCTTTGGCTCGGGGCCCATCTTCACCCCTATCTGGACCAGGAGGTCCAGATAGGGACTTCTGTCATCTATGCTCTGGTAAGCTCTAGGTTAGTTTACAGCAACACGTTATACGTGGGGCTGCCTCTGAAGATGGTTCGGAAACTTCAGCTGGTGCAGAAATCAGCAGCCAGGTTTCCCACTGGCATGAGACAGTTTGAGCATATGAAGAACAATCATGATATAGCTACACACCAAAGTGCAAGAAGACCTTTCCTTTCCCTTTCTCTCTCTTTTTTGCTTAGACAAGGGTCAACTGAAACAGGAAACTCTTTTATTTTTCTTCCCACCCAGGAGGATCCAGTGGGCAGCCAGGGTGTGTAGAATCGGTCCAGGGCCTGAAGGTGCTTTTATTGAGACAATGTCACCTGCAGTTCAGTGGTTCACCACATGGGGAGCTGCACATGGGTCCAGCAGTTCCTGAGATGAGGAAAGTATTGGAAAAATCCAGGGAAGATAGCCCTATCAGCAACTTTCAGCAATGGTGGTTGAATAGAACTTCCAAACTCGAAGGCAGTATACCTCTGAATACCAGACATAGGAGGCAAAACAGATGGGGCAAGGCTATCTTAAGCATATGCGCCGCCGGGGTGCAAAGATCCGCCTGGCGGCGCGCCCCCCCCAGGTTGCCAAGTCCCAGGCACACAAGAGGGTGGAGCTGGCCAGCCGCCTCAGCGTCTCGCTGGCTCGGTCACCCCCGAGCCCGCCGCGGGGCTCCGACTGACGGGCAGGCTCTTCCCTGGACTCAATTCTCGGGCCCCGGACTCTCCGCCTGGCGCCCCTAAGAGCCCAGCACCTGGGTGCCCCACACCCCTAGTGCCTATGGGTAAGACGGCCCTGAGATGAGGGTTACTGCCCTTCTGTCCTGCATCTGAGTTTCCCAGTGGCAGCATGCTGAACTATGAGGGCCTTTGGTTTGACACAGCACGGCCTGCCTTGTAAGAAACCTGTGTTCAAATTCCTGCTCCAAGTGAAGGGGCTAATCACAGTCTCAGACTAGCCTATCTCAGTGAGCTGTAGTAAATTCCAGGAAGGAAATACTTCATCAGGTGTTCTTGGTTGTTCCTGAATGCCACTTGTACACTTGTAGGAAGTGCCACTTATGCACTTGTAGGAAGGGTGGGCATCCTGACAGATGTGTCCTATGGCTAAGAACCATTTCCTCAGGGAAGGGGGGACTCCCCTCTCCCAAGCCCCAGCCAGCATGACCAACGGTCAGGGATGATGGGAGTTGTAGTCCAGCAATATCTAGAGAGCCACAGGTTCCTCATCCCTGTATCACATTCTCTCTATCCCCTGATTTCTGGTCTGTGACCTTAATAAATCCATCCACCCGTTCATTCATTCTCCATCCCGTGAAACTTTTTGTTTGGCTAGGTTGGCTTGGGTTTTAGCTCTGGCTTAGCTGTAGTCCTACAATGGTGTCTCTAGATCAGCAAAACTATGATAGTCTTTTTAGTAAAGCTAGAACAGATTGGAAGCTCTTAAGCTACACTGCTCGCCCCCATGGCTGAAGTTTAGGGGGGGGAAATAATGACCCCTTCACTCAGCTGACCTTTGGTCATTTTTTTGTTTTAGGTTTCGCAGATGCCCTTAAAAAGAAAAAGAAGGATCTATGAACAGTGCTTGAAGCTTTGGATTAATCCTCAAAACACCAGAAGGGGAAATGTAAATAGATTCAAACTGACAGTCTCTGGGAGGATAGGAGTACATAAGCTTGATGTGCGTCTGTATCATTCCTGTGCTCTCTGTGGATCTTCTTGGCCCTTCACCCTTTGCTGGCTTACAAGCTGGGGGCATATGCCTGGATGTTAGTGTAGCACGGCAACTACTTTGCTCTTAAAACTTGATTCAGCTGACGCTTCGTGGCACACTTTGCATGCCATCAAAAGGTCTCACTGCACTGCTTTGTTTCAAGGCAATGCAATCGCTTAGTGTAATGAAACAGTTTTCTACTTCTTTAGGTGAGTAGTGGTCATCCTCCACGGTCACCTGGATGCAACTTTTGGCAGCGTACACGCCATACATTGTTAGCACATCGCTTCTTCCAAAGAATTCTGGGAATGGTGGTTTCACACAGAGAGAGCTTTAGTTCCTAGCACCCTTGCCAAACTACAGTTTCCAGGATTCGTGGGGAAAACTGTGTGCTTTAAATTCATTTTGTAAATGCAGCTTTTGTTTTTCTATGGTAGGGAAGTCCTTGTCTTTATGGCCCTCCAGATGATGTTGATCTCAAACACCCATCAGTCAAGCCAACATAGTCAATAGCCAGGGATGATGGGAGTTGTAGTTCAGCAATGTTTGGAGGGCCACAGATTCCCCTTCCCAGTTCTATGGAGAGCAGACCCTCCAAGTTTCCCTATTTTCCAGGGACAGTTCTGGATTTACAGAAGCCATCCCAGTTTCAGATTTGACCCAGGAATGTCCCACGTTTCCTTAGGATGTCCCTATTTTCATCAGATAAATGTTGGTGGGTATGGAGTTACCTGATCACCGAGCCATCTGAAGGCAGCCCTGTATAGGGAAGTCTTGTAATGCTTTGTGTTTTATTATTTTTTTATATGTTAGAAGCCACCCAGAGTGGATGGGACAACCCAGTCAGATGGGTGGGGTATACCGTATTTTTCCATGTATCAGATTATGGTTTTTGCTATAAAAAAGGGAGAAAAATGGGGGTCGTCTTGTACACAGATGGTTGTCTTATACACAGGTTTTTGTTGGCTTGGGCGGGCTGGAGCCTACATTCGGAATCGGGGTGTGTGGTTTGCCCACTCGAACAAAAAAAGCTTAACAATTTTGAGGGCAATTGCCCCCCCCAAAAAAACTCAAGAACTTTCCGCTGCTGCTTCTGATCGCCCCCGAAGATGGTGCTTTCCCAGTAGCTGTCACTGTTTGGCAGCAGTGAGATGCTCAGCTCCCCCATTCAAACCCTGGGCGGCAGCAGGAGGAGGAGGGTGAGGAGCAAAATCCTTTGCCAAGCCAAGTGCTGCTGCTGCTGCTGCTCTCATCAGCCATAAGTATCCAAACAAACCCCTGTGTTGCAAAGAGAACGTCAACAATGTCTAGGCAACACAATGACCATATACATACGTAATAGACAATCTTTATAGAATTCCTTCAAACCATAACAAGTTCAAAACGAAATCTTTAGTCTCAAAGTCTCTGGCAATCTTTAAATGAAGCGAGGTACCAAACTTTGTACGATGAAAGACAAGCTGTGAAGCTTTGTGTACTCAGCAAATGTGATGTCCAACACTGAACAGTGATTCCAGGATATTGACTACCGTTTCGTCAGTGTTGTGGGAGGATATAGAATTGCCTCATAAACCCATCTTATTTCGAATGAATGTATGTAAATGAGACTAAATCAACCAGCCAGCCAGCATGGTTTTGGCAACCCTAGTTTAAAAGATTGTTTTCTTAATTTTGGGTTCAAAAAAAATAGGGGGCATCTTATACATGGGGCCGTCTTATACACAGGAAAAATACGGTAAATAGTAAAATTGCGATGCTGATGACGTTGATGGATTAGGACGGGCATGTCCAGCTCCCAAGAGACTGTGATCTACTCCCAGTATAAAAAAACTAGCAGTGATCTATCCTTTGTCATTGGAGGTAGGAGGAGCGTGCGTGGGGTGGGTGGATGCCCAGAGTCGTTGAGCTTTTTGGGGGGGAGGATTGCACAGAGGTTTTTTTAGCTTTTTGTACATGATAAAGATCCCGCGATCTACCAGGATCAGCTGGGGATCTACCAGTAGATCACAATCTCTTGGTTGGACATCCCTGGAATAGGACGTCCCTATTTTCATCAGGAAGGGACACGGGTGGCGCTGTGGGTTAAACCACAGAGCCTAGGACTTGCCGATCGGAAGGTTGGCGGTTCGAATGCCCATGACGGGGTGAGCTCCTGTTGCTCGGTCCCTGCTCCTGCCAACCTAGCAGTTCGAAAGCATGTCAAAGTGCAAGTAGATAAATAGGTACCGCTCCGGCGGGAAGGTAAACGGCGTTTCCGTGCGCTGCTCTGGTTCGCCAGAAGCGGCTTAGTCATGCTGGCCACATGACCCAGAAGCTGTATGCCAGCTCCCTTGGCCAATAAAGTGAGATGAGCGCTGCAACCCCAGAGTCGGCCACGACTGGACCTAATGGTCAGGGGTCCCTTTACCTTTATTTTCATCAGAGAAATGTTGGAGGGTATGTGGATCGAGCCAGCTCTGTAGGAGTCATAGAACCACCCTGTATGGATGCTGCTGTCTTTGAGGACCGAGTGCTAAGTCCTAATAGCACTTCCTCTCCTGAACTAAACAGATCTTTATGGATAGCAGAGAGAATTGGACCTCCACGAACAGCCTGCATAAAGCCAGTTCATGCAGACACTGACCTTTAGGGGAACACGTACGGGCTATTCATTTAAGCTCTCTGGTGTGGTGTGGAGATGTTAATTCTGTGACCTGATGCCTCTGTGTGTGACACTTTTACAGTTTGCGCAATCATGTATAGCATCAGGGGAATGGGATGCTGCTGATCAAGAAGCACAACTCCAAAGTAATGCTTGACACCGGAGTCACCTGGGCCATTTAGGTCTTGAATTGCAGCATATATCTTTGCACTACAGCCATTTTAAGCAGCTGCTTAAATCATTGTTGCAATGAGACAGGTCTGAGTGACTAGCAGGTGGAAATGGTGCCTGCTGGTATGCAGCCTGTCCTCAAGACAATGACTCTTTACGGCAAGAAGATTCTCCATCTTCCCTTATCTGGTCCATCTGTTTTGTAGGAAGTGCATACTGTTTGCCATTGCTTTATGATTTATATCCAAACAACGTTTAAGCGTCTCTGTCTGCTTTGGAACGATACTTAAGGTATTTTAATTTTTTTTAGAGCAGTACATATTACACAGGAAATTTCATAGGAATAAATAGGGTGAGAGATGTGTATTAATATCAATATCTCTCCTGCGCCTGGAGAGTACAAGCTGTAACAAAAGATGTTTAGTATTGTCCTGTAGACTAATTTTTTTTCCAGGTGAAAGGATGATATTTGCAAGGCTTTGTGCATGAGAGATTGGGGCCGGGGGTGGGGTGGGGGTGGGTCAGAGAAGTGCTTCTCTCTCCGCCAAACTGATGGCCAAACCAGTCTGGAGCATTTGCAAGAGTTCACTCTGACCTTGGTTTTTGAAAGCACTTTGTGGATTACGGTGAGCCAAATTATGTGTGATATCCAAGACTAACTTTCATTTTGGAGAAAAGGCAGCAATGTCCCCATCTGGCCCTGATCCAGGACATGCTCCTGATGTAAGATCGGAGCCCAGCACTGGTTTTCTGCTGAAAATTTATTATAATTACAGTGGTACCTCGGGTTAAGAACTTAATTCGTTCTGGAGGTCTGTTCTTCATCTGAAACTGTTCTTAACCTGAAGCACCACTTTAGCTAATGGGGCCTCCTGCTGCCACCGTGCCGCCGCTGTACGATTTTTGTTCTCATCCTGAAGCAAAGTTCTTAACCTGAGGTACTATTTCTGGGTTAGTGGAGTCTGTAACCTGAAGCGTCTGTAACCTGAATGTCTGTAACCTGAATGTCTGTAACCCGAGCTACCACAGTTATTATCATCCAAGGCGGTTGTGGGGCAATGGTGGCCATAAACATCAAGGAGGGTATCAGTTAGGCTTGCCCCCCCCTTACACACACACACACAGAGAGAGAGAGAGAGAGAGAGAGAGACCAGACAGACACTGATTAATAATAATAATAATAATAATAATAATAATAATAATAATTTATTTATACCCCACCCATCTGGCTGAGTTTCCCCAGCCACTCTGGGCGGCTCCCAATTGAGTGTTAAAAACAATACAGCATTAAATATTAAAAACTTCCCTAAACAGGGCTGCCTTCAGATGTCTCTTAAAGATAAGATAGCTGCTTATTTCCTTCACATCTGCAGGGAGGGCGTTCCACAGGGCGGGCGCCACTACCGAGAAGGCCCTCTGTCTGGTTCCCTGTAACCTCACTTCTCACAATGAGGGAACCGGCAGAAGGCCCTCGGCACTGGATCTCATAGACACACAGACACCACAGGCAAAACTTAGGACCCTCTTTTGCCTCTTGTGATTTATCAGTTATAGGTCACTTTGAATGTGATTTTTGTCACAGAAAGGTGGGGTATAAATAACTAAAGGTGAGCGGCGGGGGTTCCTGTCATTCTCCTGATGTTACTGGACTCCAAGTTCTATCAGCCCCAGACATCATGGCCAGTGGTCATGGATGATAGGATTTGTAGTTTAACAACATCTCTAAGGAGCCGAGGCAATAAATTATTTGAGCCCTTCTCCCCCATTGTTGGGCCTTGCCATTCAAATGGTGTGTGCACGCCACCACATGTGATTGATTATGTGGGGCAGGGCTTGCCTGCCCCCCCCATGTTTTATTCAAGTTGGCACCACTGACCTTTGCTATAATTTTTTATTAAAATGTTGTTTTATTCGCACATTTTAGATCAAAAGGAGCCAGGAAAGTCTACCTAGACTGACCTCAGGCTTGGAATTGGTTCTTACGTAAGTGTTAATGGGAGACAAAAATACCATCCCTCCTCAAAGGCT